TTGCCTAAATGTAAGTATTTTGATTGATTAACGCTTTTATCTAAGGGGACAACTTTTTCGTTTATTGAACTAATAAGAAAGTGGATAGAGGCACCAATGAGAAGGGAAATGCTTCTCTTCTATTATTAACTGCTTTACGCTTCCATTGGATAGCCCCACCTTTTGAATCCCTGCTATACTGCATTCTGGGGGGGTAGAAGTTAATAGGCGACGAGTGTTAGTTTTACTTTCGCAGTTATTTCTTACGAGGTTAAGAAAAAGGATTCTCTTATCCGAAATTTATCTGTTTTTTGTTTTCATTGGAAGTAGATAAAATCAGCTACTCTGAAATCAAAATACTTGAAGAATCTTTATCTCTTTGTATTTTTTTGTATGGTTTTAGAATTGGGATTGAATAAGGTTGATGACTTACTTTATTGTTTTGAAAGATGCCTTTTGATCTTCTTTCTATCATGTAGTGGTGGTGAAAAAAGGACAATTCTCTCTCTCTCTCTCTAATTGCTCTATTACAGCTTTTCTTTTTATGTAACCTCTATGAAGAATACATCCCTTATTCTTTATTCCTTAAGCAATGAAGTAAGCTGCTGGACCTAATTTATCTGGATTTCATGTACTCCAAGAGGTGAGAATATTGGTGGTTCTGAGGTTGACATGACTGATTTACTTCACTTTGTTAACCTTTATGTAATAATTATTTACGAGCCTACATTCAATTGAATCTCTTTTTCACTTGTACCCATCAATTAATAAAAAAAGATAAGATAAGAAAAAAGAAAGAATACGATTATATAATTTAAATCATTACTGATGTTATTCTTGATGAATGCAAAGTGTTTTGAGTCATTCTGTGATGTCCTGAAAGGAATACAAGAGAGTGATCCACAGATTTCCCCAACTTATCTTTAAAGGCATCAATTGATATTTGAAATATGTTCCTAAAGCATTCTATTTTTAGTGAACTAGATATATGTAAGAATGATTCTCTTGAGGAACGGCGACTCCAATTGGAAATGCTACATGGAATTATGGAATTGTATCATAAATAATATTAGGATTATGTTTACTCCAATAATGTCTTTACATACAATCAGATAAATGTGATAGCATTTTCTTGAGCAAAGGTACAACCCATGTAAGTTCTTTGAAAGAGAAATAAGTATACTCTATTTTTATTTTATTTTTTACCTAGAGGATAATCAAATAAAATGCTATACATTGTGCAAAAAACCATATGTTTCTACTTTCCATTCGATGTTTGGCCTTCAAGCACTTTTGTGGTTTAACTGATTGCTGCTTTTTGATCTCATAATGGTTTCATTCAGTTGTGCCATTATTTTTTCATGCTACTGCCTTAGATCAAGAGTTGAAAACTACATCGTCGTTTTAGAGCCATGATGATTTTTTTTAGAACTAAAACTTTTGAGATCTCTTTTTTTTTTCAATCAAATTTCTACTAGACTTCCATAATACTCTGGCAAGGCTTTGATGTCTTCTGACAAGATTATTCTTGTTCATAGATCTTAGCAATGCGTCATCCCAGGAGACTCGTGTTGGCAAGTTACCTTGGGGCTTTAATTGTAAGATTTGTACTTTCCATCAATTAGTTATTCAGTTTACTATCCAATTGCTAATATCTAGAAATATTCAAATAACTAAAAATATGTTGATTTATAGATCATGACCATCTTATCTGTTCTTGTTGGCTGGGCAGCTCCTAATCTAGTAATGAGTGATTTCAAGTCCATGATTTCAGTGAAGTATGAGGCCGCGGTATTCTTCAAACCATGCCGGAAAAAGCCAAAAGCTAAATTAAGCTCAACTGTCTTGCCAAGGCAACGGAGAAGGAGAGGCGCGCCATTGTCAAGACTCAAATGCAAGAGCAACAAGAAAAGCATAAATGGCTGCAAATTTCATACCGCCTCTGGCCACAGTGCATCCCGCTATTCAACCACTAGCCTTCTTGCTCGGCACTTGGAGAGGCCAAGGCGAGACTTCTGTATGTTTCTTCCATTTTTAATTCAAAGGTGAAATATGGTGCAACATTCATCAAGAATAAAAGGATTTCTGACCTTCAAGCTGCCTTGCATATGCATCAATCTTTTTTGCTTACTCTCCATCCTTTTAAATTACATTTTCCATGCTGTCACCCAATGAAACTGATTAATGTTCTGAATTAACAACTCAACCATAATCTCAATCATAGCATGGCACATGAAATTAATAAACCAACTTTAATGACGCCTCAACATAAATATCATGGATAATCTATAAATGTTAGAAAAGTACTTTTCCCCAACTTAGTACAATGAAAATAAATGCACTAAAATGAAGTGAATGCCTGTTGTTGAATTGAATCCAATGGACTTCCATCAAGTTCGATGTGAGTAGCTTGGTATGTTTCTTGCATATATACAAGTTTTTATATTGTTATTTTTATGTTCTTGACTCTTTAAAATGTTCTTGCTTATTTAATGTGTGCATGTGGAGCGAGCATTACTAATTTGGGCTGCCTGAAGCAAGAGTTATTGAAGAAAAAGGAAGAAAGGTAAGCTCAGAGTGGTAGAACTAGCATACAAATGGCCATATCCCTTAAGTCAGAAATATCAAATTTATATTGCTTTCAATTTATGTTATTTGATGCTTTGATTCCAAAGCTTTAGTTATTATGCATTCTTTGCTTTAAGTCGTAGGAAATAGTTACAGCTTACTGTATTTAGTTACACTAAGCAATATTAACGTAAAATCAGTTTAGCTTTCACTCTCTTCTAAGGTACTAATCATGTATTTCTTGTTGAATGTTATGAAGCTTCCAATTATGAAATTAGGTTCAACTCTGTAAATGACTTGCTTACCAAGTATTGCTATTTATTGAATCATGGCGGTTAATTCTTTCATCTTGTTCTTTTCCTTCTGTCTTTTAATAAACCAACTTTAATGACGCCCACTGGCGGAGACAGGGCTGGGCTGGGGTGGGCTGTAGCCCACCCTTGCCCAAGCCCATATGTAAAAAAATAAATAAAAAATTCTTAAACCCCAACTTCCCTCCCACTTTGAGAAACCCAATTTGCGACCCCAGCCCACCCTTGCCCAAGCCCATATGTAAAAAAAAAAATAAAAAAATTCTTAAACCTCAACTTCCCTCCCACTTGAGAAACCCAATTTGTGACCCCCCCTCTCTCTCCCTTTACCCGAAACTATAGCAAAACCCTCTGTCCTCTCTCTGACTCTCTCAACCGAAATGGCCAAACCCTCCCATCCACCGTGACACAGTCCGGCATCCGCCGAAGTCCAAACGCCGTCTGTGAGAAAGGCGTTCTCCCAGTTCAATTTAATCCGATTACCGAACGCCGTCTGTGGTGTCGTCCCATTCCCTTTTCTGGCGACAGTCGCGACACCAAGGTAAGGTCTGCTAAATGCCTAAATCTAGAGTATAAACAAGCATATCTAGATGATGTAGTTCAAGTTAAAAAAAGTTCACTCCAAATCTTGGCAAGAAGTTTGGCTGGAAAAAAAGTGTTTTGTGTGTGCAGTGCAGTGCGGTTGTGACTTGTGAGTTGTGCTTCTGGCTTCAGCCTTCATTTGTGGCCTGCAGTGAGGTGTGTTTGTGGCCTTCAATTGTGTGTGCAGTGCAGTAATGCAGACTATGCAGTTACAGAGTTACTTCAATTGTGAATCTTGAAATTATTTTATTAAATTTGCCATGAGACCTTAATTGAAGATATTTAATTATTTATCATGTTTCTGGAAGCAATCACGAACCACATGCTCCTCAGACTGCTGGTTGTAATTAACTTGCAAAATTTATTGTTATTTTGATATTGCCTTGGTTTGGACCAATTATCATCATTCAAGAGTTGCACGTTATTGATGGCATCCCACAGCTTATCTTTGTTCAATCAAGCTACATAATAGAGGTTTGTTCCATTTCACATCTTCTGGGAGCATATTCCATGCAAGTTTGTCGAGAGCAAGTGTCTGAATCTCATCTTTGCTTGTTTGGCAGACAGTTGAAGCTGAACGGATATCACTTGATCATGTTGCTCATCTTAAACCATCTGATGGTGGTTCAGCTGCAACTCAACGTGAGCCACTCTTCTCATTTTATCTTTTTAGTCATATAAGCGGCCTCTGTCTGTTTCACAAGAAGTATAGTGATGTATATTTTGCTTTGGTCGAGATTCATACTTTTCCCCACTTTGTGGGTAGCGAATGTATAAAAACTAATAAATGAACTTTAAGCGGCCTCTGTCTTTTCACAAAAAGTATAGTGATGTATATTTTTCTTTGGTCGGGATTCATACTTTTCCCTACTTTGTGGGTAGTGAATGTATAAAAAACTTATAAATGAACTTTCCTTTGTAGTGGTTGCTCACCTTACTGGCATACATAGTGCCATCAAGATGCTGAATAGCAAAATCAAAGTACTTCATCACTATCTTCTTGCAATGCAGAAAGGTAAATCCATTCAAATTTTCTAGTTATTTATAAATTTTATTCGAACATTCAATTTTAAAAATTTATGACCCCCGTACGACACATTCTTGGCTCCGCCCCTGAGTGTAACGTTATATTACAATTTTTCTAGTTATATTTAAATTTTATTCGTACATTCAATTTTAAAAATTTTTGCCCCCCGTACGACACATTCTTGGCTCCGCCCCTGAGTGCAACAACTTCTTTTACAACATCAACATAAAATTTTTTGAATTTATATGCAAGTAAATTAACATTTAAGTAAACTTATAAGTACAACAAATAGAATTGACCTCGTTCCAAACATTTCATGAATATTTATATATTTCCATAATATTTTCTTTCATGCACTCATCTTTAGGGTCCGTTTGATAGGTAAAGGTGAAAATGAATTTCAATTTCATGTTAGTTGGAAAATAAAAACTCGTCAAACCCATACGACTTCGTTTTTCAAGAAAACAAAGAAAATGTAGTTTAAAGTGGTTGTACCTTGAAATTCAGTTTCCATTTTTACATTGCAATCAAATGGCCAAACCGGAATTCGTTTTCATCGGATGTAACAGTTTTCATGGAATTCGTTGCAATCAATCTGGACATAATTTCCTTATCTTTATTCAACCTTTTCATTTTTCTTCAAATCATTGTATGTGGGTCCCATACCACCTCAATAACTTGCTACTTGATCGAAAGTTGTTTTGAATATTTGACCATCTAACTCGAGGGCAATTATGAAAATAAAAAATTAGGAATGTGAATGTTTGATATTATAAAGTGTAATTATATTTACATCACAAGTTTTATTTCTGACACCACATTTTAATTGCTCTTAAAATTATTAATTTTTGCTCATTATAACACTTATGTCTATAACGATTTTTCATATTATTATTATCCTCGAACTTTTCATTAGTTAACATATTTTGTAATTAACAAAATTTTTATATTCAAACGCCCTCTGAAATGATGTAAAATAAATTATTTTCCCATCATATTTTTAAAAATAAGTCCGTGTTTGTTTCTCCTTTTTTGCCCATTTTAGAAGAATTAGGACCGTTGCACGGTGCTACAACCACCATTGTTGACTTGTTTCTCTCTTGTTAGGACCGTTGCACGGTACCACAGTCACCATTTTTGACTTGTTTCTCTCTTGGTGGGCCCCACAACTTTGAATATAACGGTAACAATTCTCATTTTTATGCTGAAATGATGAGAAACAAACAAACGCTAAATAAATAAAAGTGCATAATATTTTTTTCTCATTTCAAAGCATAAAAATACAATATTGACATAAATGATCGTTAAGGACGAGACGTACTAATTAATGGAAGGTTGAAGATAAAAAAATCGACAAAAAAAAAAAAAAAAGAAGCTAAGGATGAACAAAAATTGACGAACTTAACTACAATTGAAATGTAGTGCATCAAATAAATTTTTTTTTGGCAATATATAAATGGTGGAGGGCTAATTTTCTGAATAATTTATTCAAGATTTTGTAAACCTGTTTTCAAGATTATAGAAGCACTGGTTGATGTGTCCATGACAGTAATTCTGATGTTAGGTTAATGTAATTTGTGTTGAGTGATGCAGGTAATCTGTGGTTCTTTATTGATGAATGTGCCATTTGCCTCAGCTTTGCGTCATTTTTTTACTGTAATCCCAAGAAAAATTATTTGATGGACAAGCTTCGCTAAATCAGAGGGAAGAATATATTTTTAATAGATCCCAGGAGTTAATAACAAGGAGAAGTATAGGTGTCTACAACAGTACAAAAATTAAGAAAACACTCCTCAATATGGAGAAGAATCAAAGAAGGTGAATTGTATTGTTTTGCTTTTGCAAAAGTCCCTTCTCTTTTCCTCTAGAAAAAAAAGAAGTTCAGTGAATTATTATTATTATTATTAAATCGCTTTGTATTCCTTTTCCTCTTCTCAATAGCGATGCAAAATCGAGATAAAAGGGAATTGTATTATGAATTCAGACACAATTCTAGATTGTGAAATCAACAATTTTGTATTTCCAGGTCAGTGACAAGGTTTTATCCTTAAGTTACTTCATCAACTAGATAAATTTTACTTTCTTCCTATATGTTTTTCTGTATATGCATCTGTTAAGTTTGATTTTAAACAATCAACAGGAAGCCTTTTCTACTTCGCTTCTGTACAAGATTGAGTGTTTCATGCTGTATTTCATTTGTATAATTGATATCATCATCATCTGCTGATATAACTTTTTACTAATGAATATATTTATTATGTCTTGAATGTCGTTTTATTTTACCATTGTTTTTCATGGTTTAGTTTGATATTTTGTGTTGTTTTATTTAAAAATGTGAGGTAGGTTTTGCCTAACAGGTAAATTTGTAATTTTTCTAAAGAATATGACTTTTATTGTCATTTAGCTTCATTCAGTCTAAGCATTTGTTGTTAGAGTAGGAAAATCAGTAAGAAGAAAGCTAAAAGGCTATCTATATCACAAGTTTTATAATTGTCAACATTAAAGGAAAAAAAAAATGCATAAGCTAACTGAAATAATGGAATGAAAAATGAAATCTTTAAATTGTCAGGTAAAATAAGGACAACAAAAGCCTGAGAATTTTAATTATCTATTTGCCCATTTTGTTTTGCCCACTTCTGAATACTAATAATGCTTAACAAAGATTTATAGATGTATCATAGTGTAATAATAGTTATAACCAATAGTTAACAATAAGCCTCATTCAAATATATGGTGTTTAGAGAAACTGTTTAAAAATTAGAAAATAGAACACACTGTATGGTATAAAATTAGTAACTGTTCAAATAATCCAATGGCTAAGCTTTAGGAGGAACTAAACGAGAAGGCAATGTTAAGCAGCTACAGTAGTACGGTCTATTTAAGCTGCTAACCTTTTGTCCACATACGACACTAGATTGGATGTCAAAAATTATGAAAGCTCACCAGACATCACACTAGGTTTGATGTCAAAAATCATGAAAACTATATCAGTAAAAAGAAAACTACAAGACTCGCTACGAAACAACATTAAAAGCATATGACAAGTTTTATGACTATTAAGATTAAAGAAGAGAAAAAATGCATATGATAGCTGAATTACAACACAAGTAATCCTTAGAGGTTGGTACTCTTTAGGAATACCTAGAATAAAGCATTTTGCTTGATAGATTTTCAATCTAAGATATTGTTATTTGTTGTTTAGATACCAAAATTTGAAAGAGAGATCAATAATGATTAATTTCATCAGCTTTTGCTAAGAATGCTATCCTTATTCTTATCTTCTTATTTTTTTTAACTGTACTAACATAATTGATTTCCTACTTTATGGTGTTTCCATTGTTTTTTCATTCTTGCTTCGTATAGCTGTCTATCTCCTAGCATAGTTAGTGTTTGTCTATCTTAATCAATTGGTGCTAAGAATATATTGGAAGAAATAGATATGTAAAAAATACTAAAACTATTACCTTATGATAATCATAAAATATGGAAAATAAAAACAAAGCTTTTTTACAAAAGAGGGAAAGTCCAAATCCTCTTTTATCTTTTGTTTTGTAGCTGAATGACCAACTATGTTATTTCTTCACAGTCAAACCCAACTTCATCATCTGTTTTTACTGTTATTACGTGTAAAATGTTTTATTTTAAATAGAAATGCTAAGATAAATTAGATATTGACATTGTTTTTAGTCTGATATATGAGTTTCTATTTTAAAAATTATTTCAAAATTGTCTAAAATTAAATTATCTTTACAAAGATGTTAGTTTTTAGGATATTAAATACCTAAGCTCTACTTATGTTTTTACCAAATTAGTATACTTATATTAAACGCCATTATTCAAATATTGAATTTGGAAATGTAGGAATAGGAACTTGAGTTAATTGAAAAAAAAAAAGTTTATTTCTTAATATAAATTAATTGTTATAAATTAAGCATGCTATACAATGTTTACCCTGTATTTCTTCGAATTGAAGATGAATTCTCAAACAAAAATATTTTCTCCTTTGCCATTGCATCATTCATTAGGCCTGCTACAGTGCAAAAAGAATGTTTACCCAGTATTTCTTTGAATTAAAGATAAATTCTCAAAACAAAAATATTTTTTCCTTTGCCATTGCACTATTCATTAGTAACTCCTACAGTGCAAAAAGAAGCAAATATAGCTTCCATGCCAAAAGTTTATACCATGATACCAATTCCTACCGTAAAAAATGAAGATCACACCAGTTTTTTTCCTGATTGTCTTCTTTGCCTATCATATTTGTCTCATTAAAAATGGTAGGAATCACAACAGCATGTGCTGAATATGTAAGCATTGCTATTTTATATAAGTTCTTCGAGTTTTTTCCTAAAAGAGTAAAAAAAATAAAGTATGAGATAGTTATCTTTATCTATAAACTTAATTATTATGTCTAAATATTTTTTCCTAAAATTTAATCACCAAAAACCTCTATTTCTCTTGATATTCTTTTAATTAATTATTCAAAATTTATACCTTTTACTTAACAATTTAACATTTGTAGCATAGCATAAGAAAAGATAAGCATTTCTGTTAAGTTATAATTGATGAGTTATCTCATTTGCTTGTTTATCACTGTATATAGACAATTTGTGAAGCAAAGGATTTAACAGCAGAGAATTTGTCGGTCAAAATATTACTTCAAGATTCAAAACCAAAAATTGACTGTCAGTTTAATAGCTGGAAATTTTTCATTATCAGTAGAAGATAAACTTTAACCATTCCTATTTTTCCACCTGTATGCATTTTCCAATTTCCCATGAAAAAATAGCTATTCATCCTTTTTTCAGGAAAAAGTACCGATTCATTACTTATCTTATCTTATCATAAAAATCTCTGCATAATATCTATAGACATCACACTACTATATATATATATACTTACTTCACAGACATCTCTGCATTCCTCCTCTCTGCATCTCGTTTATAAACAAGGTATGCTTATCTTTTCAACAATTGCCTATTTCTTCATTTTTTTATATCAGTAATAATAC